ATTGCCATCGCCAGGCGGCACCTCTCCTCCCCAATTCCAACTCCTCCACCATGCAACTTGGAAGGACCTGCGGGACTCGGCATTGAGCGGCTGTGAGCTGTGTAAAGTGCTCAGGAACGGATGCTTGCATTCACATCGACAGAGGCTGAGAGCTTCTGCATCCACAAAGACGGAACAAATCGAGACACTATTCGAGGACGTGAAAAACCTCGTCATCCGATCATCTGGCGAGACAGCTGCTAGCAATGACAATGCAGATTGTCTGGTGGGCTTCAATGGTCTCAACAAAAACCCACGGACCCAATGGCGGAATCATGTGTACAATTGGAGCCTGGTCACATATTGTGACCGATCGGGAGATCACCCCCAGGTAGATGCAGATTTTATCCTTGGAAATAATGATGGTGAGCTCATTATAACTCCGGCAAAAGGGTTGACCAAATGGCATGGACCGAACAGCTTGAGCTGACTCTTGTGTAGATGATGGGCCACATCTGACCCACGGCGGTTTCGATGGCAGATGCTGCTCACGGACACCAGACCTGAGCCTAGCTCAGAAATGGATCTCGGAGTGCCAGCATTTCGATAAAGAATGTGTTTTTAGACATGTTCATAATCCATTTCTTCAGACAGAACTTCCTACTCGTCTTGTTAGAATTGAGAAAGGAAGCAACCGAGTGTGGTTGCAACCGACCGAAAGTGAGCAGCAGTACGAATACGCCACTCTCAGTCATGTTTGGGGAGGCACCAATACTCCATCCACAACCAAAGACAATCTTGATGTCCGCATACACAACGGTATCAAGACTTCTGAGCTTCCTGCAACTTTCAGAGATGCCATCACTGTAACTGATGCACTGGGTTATTGTTTTCTTTGGATTGACTCTCTGTGCATTGTACAGGATGACAAGACGGATTGGGAGCATGAATGTCCCCGTATGGCGTCGATTTACCAGGGCTCAGTGGTCACTCTGGCCGGCCCAATGGCTAAAGACTCACATGCAGGGTTGCTGCATGGCCGAATGTTACTTGACGAGCCATCTGACATGTACCAAACTCCACTGCAATATCGCAACGAGCACGGAGAGTCTCAGAGCCTTCTGACCATGTACTATCCCGGCTTCAGGGATCACACGAAGAAGATTTATCCGTACAAAACTGAAAACAACTCAGTACTCTTACGACGCGCCTGGATATTTCAAGAGAGTCTCTTATCCAGGCGCACACTGAACTTTGGCTCGACCCAGATGTATCTCGATTGCAGAAGGGGCACGCGATACGAGATGTCCCATCAAGGGGAAGGCTTCGGGCTTCGCCAAAGGCCGCAATATCTTTCCTTCACTGAGCGTCAGCCGGGTGAATATTATAGCTGGTGGAGGAGAGGAGTAAAGAAGTATTCTAGATGCGAGCTCACGTTCTTTTCCGATCGTTTGCCGGCGATATCCGGAATCGTCCATCGCCTTCCGCCCCCGATACCCGACCAGTACGTCGCTGGTCTTTGGAGGAATGATCTCCAAAGATCTCTGCTATGGTACAACGGGGAAGGGCGCAGCCCGGGTTGTCAGTCTGATTCTCCGATGAAGGCACAGTACTTAGGTCCTAGCTGGTCCTGGGTTTCACTACCAACACCAATCACCTACCCTGACCCAATTCAGACAGAAAATGCTCCCCTGTTATGGAGTATGAAAACAATCTTTGCTTCTACTTCACCAGATGGGGCAGATCCGTACGGCCGAGTCAAAGATGCTAGACTGATACTCCGCGGGAAAACAGCTCCGGCAGTCATCGCCCTCTTCGAGAATAACACTCCATCGAAAGGTACTTTATTCATATCTCCAATTGTCCAATTGAAGAGCTCCTTCAACAAAGCACATTTTTTTCCTGATGACCCCAGGCGCTTTCATTCGGTTCCCTTAGTCAACGGCGTGGGCGACTTGTTTTGGGACTCTTTTGGCGGTCGGACCTCTACGTACCCGCAGAGTTGTGACCATGAATGTGTAATATTATTTCTCGCTGCAATCGTTGAACTGGACTCTTGTGGAATTGCGTATGCTTTGGTATTGGAGCCAGGAGGAAAGGCACATGATGTTTTCCGACGGATTGGCCTTGCGGTCATTCGCATTCGCCAGGAAGATCTAATTTGGTGGCATAGTGACTGCGAAGAAACGGATGTAGCCATCATATGAGCATCAATCATGAACAACTACTGCTATTCAAGCTCCAATTGGTCAATCTAGGAGACAGCGAGCGGAGTCCCCAGGTCTCCGATGAGTATGGGCTTTTGCCACAATGCAGAGATATTCATGTTAGTGCATGGGTCGATAAAGACCCATCCTGCTGGCGTCTGGCGCTTCGTGAAACTGGAATCCGTCAAAAACGGTGGCAAGATCGTAATGGGGCCAAACGGTAACTTCATTTCATGTTTCCCTGACTAAGCGGCGAACTTCGGGGGGCTCAGAAGTCATAATTCTCTTGGCGAAAAGGTAGCTGTGTGCCGGGCCCCGTCTGAGTTGAGGGCGTATGCGAGACATTCACGAGGAACCAGGGCGTGGCGAAAAGACTGGTAGGCGCTTGACGCTTGACGCTTGTGTTCTGCGGCGTACGGAGCGCGCGAGCGGTCCAGTCGCGGTCGCAGAAAGACTGAGCGTTATGTGTTCAAAAAACGTCTGAGAGTCTCGTCTGTGTTCGCTTTCTGTCAGTTGTTGTGAGTGTGCGGGTTCCGTGCCACGGGCGAATCAGTATTTGTGTATGTTTCGGGCTGGAATGGATGCGATTCGTCGGCTGGGTTGAGGGGGTGTAGGAACGGGGGGTGAGATTCTCTGCGGTTTTCGGACTGTCACCTGTTTTTCTCCGAACATGGTGAGGGATGGGAAGGGATACAATGTGTCAGAAGTCAGATCGGACGATCTACTCAGCTGTCAAAGCAAATGGGTGGGGGAATCTGGACAAGGCGAGGCAGCTGGGAGGGAAAGTAGACGGGGGAAGGATTTCGCAATGGGACGAGACGAACTCTGAGGTTATCGGGGTGGTGGGCAGATCATATCGTCATGGACTATGCCGTAGCTTTCTCTCGTTAAACTCGGGTGTCAAGGTGATAGCCTTTGACGGATCAATGTTGCCGAAGTCAAATCGCCGAAGGGTTCGAAGTCTGTCCCAAGCTCCTTTAGACATAGCTTGAGCTTGAGCTTATTCAAAGGTCGAATTGAGGGGTCTTCTTTGTTCAATGACTTTGGTTCGTTCCTACAATTTGCCTTTGAGAATGAAAGGTTAAGCTTATTGCCCTATCTGCATATTCGCCATGTGCTGCTGCCCATCCCACCGCGCGGACGTACTTTGACCCGCCGTTCCCGCAAAAGCTTGACTGCCGACATGTGCTGCTTTGATATCTTTCCTGTTTAAAGGGCTTATGGGAATTTGGATTGGGCGAGTTCGGGATTCAGAAGGGGTTTTGCAGTTTCCGAGGATTAGAAGGATAGTGGGATTGTCTAGACCCCGTATCCCGTGGCCGGATGAAACGTGATACATACCGATAGGGCTGAGGTACATTACCCAGCCTTGGCGTGTCAGTGATCTCTGACTCATGACCGATCGGATGCTCTTTTCTTCAATGCTGGATCTATGCTCGGGCTCTTGTAGGACTCCGGTTTTTGCCGCTGCTTTCGAGTGTGCTTGCTGGCTCGCCGCTATGGGTATAGACTACTGGCCACTGCGCTTGTCAAGAGGAGACGGCTGTTTCCGGGTTGCCGACGGCGGGTCGTTTATGTCTGTGTCAGATCATAGAAGATAAAGATTCGGGGTGCATACGATGCCTGAAAGACTCACTTAAGGTGTGAGTGGGGTTGCCGGCTATGCTGATAAGAGGTTTGAATCTGGACCCCTTTTCTAGGGAATTTGGCGATGCTTTCTGAAGGTAGAAGATTCAACGGCAGGCAGTCACTATGAAGGTTTGAAGAAGGCAACATGGACTTTTCCTTGCGCGTTAGATTTCTTTGAGAATTTTACGTCACCACATACATGCAGGTGAAATTTATATACTGTGTGTCGGAAATACAGTGGGCAGCGGAAGTTCTTGCCTCACCAAACAGGTTTGAAGCATGTCAACTCGTGGAAGGACGCGACTACTTCAACCTCAGTCCAGGAGACTGTTTCCGTCAAGAATAGTGACCTTATCGTTCCACCCTGGAAAGAGAACATTTTCCGGTAGCATCTCTGCGAATAGAGTCAAGGCCTAGGCCCGTAAGACGTAAGCAAGTCCCCCACTGAGTGTGCGTCGAAATCATCGCGCCGCTGGTTCTCAATCTTGCCATGTGCTTTGATCTGAATACATGGTCGTGATTCAACCAAAAGTTATATCTCCTCATCTTGAAATCTATCCAAATGAGGAACGCTCTCTTATAGCACTGTGCTGATCAGTACTGAGCTGCTGCTTCAGGAAAGGCTTTTCCGGCTTATTTTCATACCAACCACCACTACTATGAGGCTTAGTTAAAAGCCAACAAACCTTCCAGATTCATTCGGATGAAGCCCATGTTAATTACAGGCTTACTGAAAATAGCATTCAACTGTTCGGGGTCCTCCACAAATCCGGTAACCTCAATATCACGGAGTTAACGGAGATAATCATGAACCTTGCTCGACTCTCATAATAGTTCTAGGTAGTCGTTTTCGTAAGGTATCCAGAGAGGCTGGTAACTCCGCAACTTTGCATTAACTGATTCGCCGAATTTCGCTAAATATTGAACTCTACTGGAGCATTGGATTCCACAAAATGGAACCTGGATGCGAATCATAGTACATCAATCCTAGCTACTGAACGCCCTACGCCCTACTGCCAAGATTCAGCCGAGGTCGACTACTGACTTCTATGAGTGAATAATAATCTCGGAATTGTCTTATTCAAACCATTACGATAATTATCTAAGGATAAATACAAAGGAGTAGTCCACTCAAGTGCCAATCACGGGCATCATGGACGTCAGCCAGCTCAACACACGAGAGTCATGGCAACATCACGCCAGGTAACCTACGACAGCCGCGGGCTGAAGATCTTTGCAAATCTTGTCTTTCCTCCCACGTCAGCTCCCGACCGCAAGAATGCTGCAATTGTTGTTGGTCACCAGGGTACAGGTGTCAAAGAGCAAGCCTCCGGCCTGTACGCCAAAACCCTTGCCTCTGAAGGGTTCATCACCCTCGCCTTTGATGCAGCCTACCAGGGAGAAAGCGAGGGCTTACCCCGAGGCTTAGAGGATCCAGCACAACGTGTCGAAGACATCAAATCCGCAGTCACATATCTCTCAACCCTTGGAAGCGACGTAGTCGACCCGTCCCGAATTGGCTGTGTAGGCGTCTGCGCCTCTGCAGGCTACGGAATCAGCGCTGCAGCAACAGATCAGCGCATCCAGGCTGTCGCCGGCGTATCTACAATGTGCTTTGGCACTTTGACCCGAGAAGGCATGAAGGATCCAGCAACCGGACAAATCGACGCTGTGAAACTGTCCCAAGGCTTGGAGCAGGCCGCGAAGGCTCGGATCGACGAGATGGAAGGCAAGGCGTCAGTGACTCACAACATTCTGGACGTGTTTTCCCACCCAAGGGAGGACATCAGGGCATACTACAATGATCTTCGGTGGAGTAACACGAGATGCACCAACGAGATGGTGACGAGAAGCTCCATGCTCCTCGTCACATTTGACTCATTTCAATATGTTGAGTGGATCTCGCCGCGGCCTCTGCTGTTGGTTGCCGGAAACGAGGCAATGACGTTCCCATATAGTCAACAGATTCTACAGAGGGCCAAAGAGCCGAAGGAGTTTTTTGTCATTGGTCGGGCTGGCCACGTTGAGTTGTATCAGGATGTGTCAAAGAGTGGACCGAAGCTGGTTGACTTCTTTGTAAGGGCACTTTGCATGTAAGGAGTCCTGGAACGGGTTATAACTAAGTATTTGCCAGAGTCAATAGAATCCATGCAACAGCTCTTTGGTGAAGAAACGGCAGCGGACGAGTATTTTCCAAACAAGATGCAGTCCGTATCCTCATGTATGGTGGTCCATATGACATGGTAGTGAAAGCTTAGACAATAGCATGTCCAGATTCCTCTGACTCGTAGCTCCTAATCTAAGAGAATGCAGACTTTTCGCTGGACGATAGGGTTGAGTCGTTCAATTAGCCTCAATGTTTCAGGGACAAATGAGGTTGTCCAAGGCCAAGGTGGCCTTCCTTAATGGATACCTCCGAAGAGACGCTGCCAGAGAATTATATCAGTCAAGCATCGCGGTTATCGTATTTGTGCAGACACAGATGCGTGAACTCATATGGGTATCTCTTTGTAGCGGGGGACCTCCACTGGTTATCATATCAGTGGAATGGTGCGACGAAGTCACCTAAGCTGAACTCGCAGCTTTACACCCTTACATCTCATCGTCAAACTGATAGACTGTAAAGCGTCATTTACTGAGAGATCTGCTTAGCACAGAGGTAGTAGCTTATTTTACCTACATAAATATGTCACAACGGTGTGGTAAACTTCCTGAAAGGTTATTTTATTACTGCTGCGGTCTATAACCTCCCCTTTCTGTCCTTATTGTTATCTTCCTCCATGTCACTGTTGTCCTTGTCACCGTCGCCCTTGCTAACGTCTTCCTTGTTATCGTCTTCCTTGTTATCGTTATCGTTTCTGTTATTCTACCTGGCATCTTCAGGGAAAAAAGCAAGCACCGGACTAAGAGCTTCACGATACAAATGCCGCTCTCTCTCCCTTGCTGCCGCCTCCTCACGGCCCATGCCTCTCTCCTCGTCTAGTTGCTCCGTGATAAGCTGGTAGTCGTCTCCATGGGTCTCGCGCCAGACCCTGGCTACTTCCACGTTCGTTCCTATGAATCTTGCAGTATAGAAGAGCGTTGCGAGCGCCGAAATGACAAAGCTGGCCTGGGTGACCCGACAAGGTGTAGCTATGTCCTCTGGGCATCGCCGAGTCAGCTACCACGGGAGAGGGCTCGGATGCTGCATATCCAAAAAGACTGGCGATGCCTGCGATGATAGGCTGTGAAACCAGAAGAACGCGAGAAGACCATCGTATAATAATGAAAAGATTGGAGAGAATTGACCGGAAAAGCCCATGATGAATCGAGCAAGCATAAGAATTGCAGATAAGATTGCAACCGCGAGGGTGGCGTCTACAAGCCTAGGGAAGAAAAGAAAAAAGTCAGCATCATCATTGAGTTTCATTGTATAACGATGAGGAGGCGTGGAAAAAAGAAATGACATACTCCTGCGACCAGACCAGCGGAACCTTAGGAGGCTGATTGCAGTTCGGATCACAGCGAACCGGCTGGCTTGGGCTGGAATTCCAACCCTCCGGGCCCCCTTTTCCCATAGTTTCAATCGATAGTTTCTGGAGGATATCATCAAAAAGACACTGGTAGCCGTCGCACAGAGGCAAAACTCAGGTACGAAGGTGAACCCGTGGTTATCTTGACTGCCATTTTCACAAGCTGCAATGTCAACAATGTGACGGGTAGGCATGGACAATCTTGACCTTTTATTGTGTCTGGACGTATGATACATCATAAAAAAGATGCGCTAATCGCGGTTGGTAGCTGCCTTGACTGCTCGTATCTGGGTGGAGGTTCCTAGATCGAAACTTGCTCATACTGCCGCAAGGGTCACGGGAATGCGGCGTCGCGAATGAACTTGGACACACTTACTGACTTCGTCGAATGGGGAAGTAAATCAAACATTGAGTGGGATATTTTCCTCATTTCTAGTTGGCAGGAGCGAGTGCCCCGAATATCCAGATATTTTGGTCAAGACTAATAGTGCAATGGCTATTTTACACTACAGCACAGGTCATCATTGCATCAAGCAGATTGCACACGGCGTATGTTACTCGGGCTATGGCCCAAGTACATGCTGTTTCATTATAATTCATGATGGAGCTTGGTACTTCAGATTCGAAGCTTTATGAACGTCCACGTCTTGGCAGCATCATGCAGCAGTCATGCGCACCTCTCGTTTGGCTCAGCTTCCGAGCAGGTATGCGCAAGTTGACCCCGCAGTCGCTGCGACTCGACGTTTATACTGAATCGCCCTGTACATCAAGGTAGAGAGTCCAAGTCATATAGAGCCTCAATCACCGTCTTCATCCGCTGTGTCTCGATCCTTCCATCAGCTAGATCGATCTCCTATTATCCATAAACATAACTCCGAAGCCTCAGTCAATTCAATCTAAGAACTTTTTATCTTCGACGTTTTTCTATGGCTCTCATCATTAAATGGGGGGCTGCGCCGCAATCTCTACTCAAAGCACACCGACGATACCTGCAATCAGACAGGCATAAGCCTCGAAAGTCTCCTCATCAGCTCAGTGACGAGGCTCCATGGCCTCGGACCCGCTTTCCATCACCCCATGAGATTCTGGGCGCGCAACCGGGGCTGCCTTACACCAAAAAGCACTTCTACCGGCTCGTGAAGCTATATCACCCTGATCTTCGTACTCTAAACAAAACCCGCGTGGTCAGTGTTTCGCACACAACTATGACTGAACGCTACCGCCTTGTGATTGAGGCACGTAAGATACTCAGCGATCCAAAGAAGCGATTGCTCTATGAAAAGTATGGACTGGGTTGGAGTGAGTTCAGACAGCGGACTCAGCAAGCACCTCGCCCTTCACACAGTACCACGGCTCGTTCGAGATACGATGACGCCTCATTCACTCAGAAGGGCTCACCAGAGCGTCAGTTTCCAACCTACGCATCAAACTCTGTAGTTGCCATTGTTTTTGTTCCGATGGCGATGGCGGGGGGCATTGCTCAGCTCGAACGTGCTCGAAAGGCCAGGTGGGTTTCCAAAAGCGAGATTTAGCCCTGCAGGAGGCAATTAGCAGAGATCTCCAACACCTGGCAGACCAGCTCGAAGGAAAACCAAGAGACTTGAGAATATTAGAATTCTTGGCACGAAGAGAACTTAGCAGCTGGTCAACACTGGAGGACCCGCACGGAGGATTCAACCCGTACGAAAACGTTTGCCGCCATTGATCATTTGAGCTATGTGTCTCAATTTCCGAGTGGTTAATTATCAGGATTATATCTCTCTGGAAGAATATGTAATTGAAATCAACTGGTTTTGTCTTGCCCTGGCCTATTTTGCTTAGAGTTCTGCTATCAGGGCGGGTGGTGGGCATAGACGACGATAGGGACGACGACGACGACGACGACGACAACGACAATAACAACAGGGACAGGAAAAGGAATCAAGATAAGAAAAGCAGTAACCACAGGGACGACAGGGACGACAGTAAGAATAAAATTATGTGAGCAAAATAGACTATCAGACCTAATGTAAGTAGTTATCTGCCTGGACAAAAAACCCAACATCCCTGTTAAGTTTATTGTTCTTGCTGCATCGTCGATCTTATGCTCGCGACAGCCCAAACTATCCCCCTTAAAAATTGAAATACTCAGCTTCGCGTTCGGCAGCTGTAAGAAACTCTGGTATATCGCTACAAATGCCGCTCAACTTGACGTGGTCTAGTCCGGTAAAGCCATCTGCATCTATAGCTAAAACATCACCACCTGGTAGTAAAGCTCGAATGATCTGTGCAATACCCGCCCGCCGAAGACTTAGATACCCGCCATAAGTCGTGATTTCCTTGCCAGAACCAGTTGACATATCATATGCTTCACTTCGAGGCATGATACATCTTCGACCATGTTGAGGATCTAAGGTGATCCTGCAGGCAAAGATCAACGGTGTGAGGTACACAGTTCGGCGCCAAGATCTATGCTCCTTGACAAATACTGATCCTGAAGCGCCGAGGGACACTAATTTCTCCACAACGTTGGCGGTGCGGTGCAAAGTTCCCTCACCAGTACCACATCCGAGCAGCTTAGCCAGCAGCTGACTAGCTGTCATGCAAACCTCCCGGGCCATCTCGCCAGCTAGAATCTTGACTTCGAGGGCGTCAAGAAAGCAAGGGTAGGTGATGTTACCCATGTAGGATGCGTTACCTATGGGTAAGTATAGAACAATGGTACTGTCGTATTCGAGAAGGACCTTCATCTTTTCGTTCATAGTGAACGAATTTAGCCATCGCAGGTTGGATGCTATCTCATGAACCGCTTCATGAAAGGCTCTTCGATCCTCCTTGGAAGAAAGGTTTACGAGCCCGTTGCTCATGAGCCAGACGAGGCTCTCCTTACTACCAAGGTATGTGTCATCGCAGCCCGTAGGATATGCTTCATAACAGGATTGAAGCCCCTTGGGGGAAGCGCACCGGTAGCTTCGTTGATGACCTGCAACATACGATGAATATCATCTGCAGATGACACCATTTCCAATGCGCTGTAGATGTACCACAGCGCAGTTGACCCATCAAAAAGTCGACCTTCATCATCAGAGATTGACAGCCTTGGCACCGTGAGAAATAACTTCTCGACGAGGGATATTCGGCCGTAGCTGATAGCTTCACAGACAATCCTGGGGTTGAGTGGAAAGACAGAATTCTCAAGAGCGAGGGAAAACACCTCGTCAGGAACTGAGTTTTTGATCATATCTTTGAATAGGCCGTCGCTGTCGCAGGGATGTGTGTATCGTCGAGTGCTCTTCTGTAGCAAAAGGCGGAGTGTTGCTGTATGACGGACGAAATATAAAGGATTCCGACGTTTAGACGGCCCCTGCAGAGGCAAGTCGCTGAGCTTGGCTCCTCTTGACATCAATAACTGCGCGGCGTCAGCGTCGCCTGAAAGCAAGCTGGCACCCACTATCGGAAGTTGTTCATAGCATTCTTTGGCCGATATGAACGAAACCGACAGTCTGGGGCGCATACCAAGATCGATACACTGTCTCATGATGTCGAGATGTCCAGTGATAGAGGCCCAGATGAATGCGTAACTTTCATCTCGGGCCACGGCATTTGGCACCAGGCGCTGACAAAGAACAGAGCTGAACCATCGCGACACCAATGCCCATTGAAGGTGATCTTTGGATGCCAGTGAGCATGAGATGTCCTGAAGAATCTCGATAGGCAAGTCCCAGATGGCCAGCTTGCTGCTGGCGATAGGCTTAAGAACTTCCATTCTGTAACGATCCAAGCTTCCGAGTTGTGTTCTTGTGCTAACGGTGGCCTGGCGGTTTTGGAAGAAAAGAAGTGACGGAGTAGGTGTCTTGGTTTTGTGCATGCAAGTTGGGTGAGTATTTGGGGTGTTAGGAATGGAAACAATGATAATGCAGTCGCAAGTCTAGGGAATACTTTAATGTACAACAGTGGATATCAGTGGAATGTTTCGGAGTTACGAAATCTGACCAGATGTTTCAAAGAAAGTTTTTTCGAGGCCTTACCCGGAGGTGACGAGTCACCCTTTGCACTCTCACAACCTTGAGGGTAGTGGCTCAAAGTGGTGACATCTGAGGTATGCACATGTATAGACTTGCTCTCAGTGGGGAACGTATCTACCTACGAAGTAAGCCATTAATCAAATCTAAAGTCTAGGTGTATTCAAACAGTTTCGAGATCCCAACGAATGAAAAAGCCCTACGACCATTTACTTTGGTTGCCTTCAAATAATTCACTCCTTGGAAGTTTGGTAAATAGCAAGAACACAAATTGTCATCCGCTCCCGCAGGAACCCTCATTGATCAATCAAGTGCAGATCTTGCAAGTTCGTCTCATCCCCAAAGAAGAAATAGCAAGTCAGGGTTCCCTTTAGCTGACACATTGAACATTCATGGTAGATGATAGCGAGTATGGTGCGGATACTAAAGATTAGTAGCAGAATCGTAGCTACAAAGGTTGAGCTCCGCTGCCTCGCGGAACATCTCCGCCAGAATGGCAAAGCTCATTACCTGAAAGCAGAGGGGAAGACCGGTGATGGGACTCTGAAGCGACACAGTTATAGACGTGATTGGCAGCGGCAAAGACCGGCTTTGATAGCTACTAAGACAGACATCGTTGATCAGAATCACAGCATTATTTGAGTGTAAGAAACTGTATGTCTCTAAACGTATTATTGCTAAAATATCAGGCCTACGTGCTAGCCGCCGCTGTCGTCGTGACAGGTGCAGCACTTGTTGCAGCAGATGTGGCTGCCGCCGTAGTGCCCGAAGTAGTCGAAGTTCCTGTTGATCCACCCTTCACAACCGTAGCTCGGACAACTTGGCCGAGCGTGTTGAAGACTATATTGACTAACGAGCTTAGCGGAGCATACTCGTAGACCTTTTGAACCAAGCCATTGCCGAGGTCCGTCTGAGATCCAGTGAAAGTCATGTTCTGCTGGTAGTTGCCAATGATGCTGCTAAGAGCGCTACTGCCAGCGTTGGTGACCTCTTGCACAATGTTGCCGAGGTTGTCGATGAGGAAGTTGATCTTGGTGTCGCCGTTGACGATAGAGCCGAGAAGACCATCCACGGCGCCGATGACGTCGTCGACGACATCTCCAACTGTGTCGAGGAGGTTGATCAGGAGCGGGTTCAGGTCGAGGGATGCCAAGGTACGGTTGACAATGTCGACAAGATTACCGAGGCGGATGACAAGCTCGAGCTCCGCTGAAACGTCAGCAATGGTGATGTTGACCTTCTCGATGCCGACCTGCACGCCAGCATTGATAGTTACGAGCTTGGCAACCTCTGCAGCGAGATTGATCTCGGCGTTGAGGTTGTCGACGTCGAGCTCGATGCGCCCGACGGAGAGCTCAGGGACCTTGAGGTAGACATCCGCAGGAGGTGTGCTGGACGGGGCCGTGGTCGTTCCACCCCCGCCGCTACCATTTGTTCTGGTTCCTTGCGCAGCTGTCGAGGTTGGGGTAGTCGCGGAGCCGCTTGCTTGTGGTGTTGAGGATTGTTGGTCGGCTGCCGTGGTTGTCTCAGCAGTGTCCGTCGCGGTGGGAGTTTGTGCCACCGCGAGCGAGACGAGGACCGCGAGAAGGAATGAAAGAATGGAGTACCTCATCTTGATTGAGGTGCGTGCTTGTGTGAAGGAGTGAATGAAGGAACGACGACAACACCAGATGGGGAGAGACGAGGAACGGATTGACGCTGGTGAGCTGTAAGATACTCCAGTCACGGCGACAGGGCCGCCGGGGGATATAAGGCGGCATCGTCCTTCAGCGAAATCAAGGTTGTCAATTTACCTCATCGGCGTCCCCTGTCCATCGCGGAGCAGTGACACATCCACACCCTAAGCGGGAATGGTCCAATGCGGTTCCATATCTAGGGCGGATAATGACAACGGTTCCGAAAAGGCGGTGCTGGCAGCTGGCCCCCCGCCGCCCCCCTTTCCAAAGCGTGGCTAGTCATCTCATGCCGAGACATGCTGCAAGCCCCCGGGCCGATGGGCTGCATGTTTTCCTTGGAATCACTTCCAAGTTTCCAAGGTAAAGTGAAATTGCCGTCCATTATGCATGGGATATCGATGTCGCGTCGACGGTCTGGGCCTTACGCCGTGGGATGAACCAGTAGGGTGATTCGCTTGAACGTGGGCTTCGCGTGCGGAGGAGGCTTCCGAGAGGATAACCGACTAAGTGTGGGCTTTGGGGATGGGGAGACTTACCCATGATCTTAGCATGGATTTGTATTGAAGTGGTGTGGGTGTGATGCCTGCCGGCGTTGGGAGAATTCCCTCGTCATCACATCTGGGCCTCGCATCCCCTCCCACATGCCTCAATAGACCATACATCTATCCAGTATTCCCCGCGTCCATGTGAGCAGTAGACCTTGCTCGTCTGCGGCCTTTCTTCCTGTCGTCTCAACATCTTCAACGGCCTGCTGTGCCATTCATTCGTTCCTTACGAGACTTCATCAAATCTTCGCCATGGGCCCCTTCATCAGCAGGGCATTCGCCTTGCTTGCCGCTCTTTCAACTGTCGCCCTCGCACAGGATGACACCAAGGATGATGGCTATTTCGGATACACTCTCGAACGCCGCGGTGACAATGAGTCCGCCGTATACGAGACAGAAAGCACCAGCACCGGCATCGATACGCTCAACCCCATTCCAGATGTGTATCTCAACGCCTCTGTATCAGTCGGCGAGATCAGCATCGAGGTGAAGAACATCACGGCCAAGGTGAACCTCGACGCAAAGGTCCTCAACCTGCTGCACTTCCAGGCTGGCGTCGACGCGAGCATCGATCGTGTCAAGCTGGGCATCTACAACGTGTCTGCCAAGGTCGAGCTCGAGGCCCGCCTGGAGAATGTCGTAAAGATGGTCGACGACGTCCTCACGAGCATCGATCTCAACCCCATCATCGCCACGCTGGGCGACACGGTCGGTGACATCGTCAACAAGACTACCGACGTCATCACGAGCCCCGTCGAAACGGACGCGAGCTCGGTCGCAAAGCGCGACCTGACCTACCGCATCGAGAACAACATCTTGTACTCAGTCAACGACTTCTCCGGTCGCACACACACAAATCGCGTGCTCGCGCAGAACGGTTCGCTGTTCGACGTGTACCTGAACAACAACGGCGACGAGACGGGACGCCGCGTTGTCGGATATTACAGCCGCGACATGACCTTCAGCGGCCACAACAAGACCATCTCGATTGACGGGCAGGTCAAGGAGTTTGAGATGCAATACGTATATGCGCCATACCCCGGCTTGGAGGCGTTCAGCAACATCTACATGGACACGACTGGCAAGGTTGTAAGGACGAAGATCGTGGCTGAGGCAGAGGGAGGAGGCACTGCGACGATTAGCAATGAGGATCAGTGAGCGGCGCAGACGGCCTCACGGTAGAAAGTGAGAGACAGGGCCTCGAGGCGCCAATTGAAATTGATTCCCGTTACCAACGACATCATAGGACCAATGCCATTGTGGACATCGAATTGCCGGTTAAGATGGTGAGGCATGCCAGTCTGTAAGCAGAAGAACCTCCGACGTCTGGATCGTTCGATTGAAACGGGGAGCCGCCTGTGGGACTTTGACACGCCCCCCATATAATGGAGTTGATATTGGTGGGGGCGTGTTCGTGGGCAGGCAGACGGCTGTTTTTTTTCTCGCAATGGAACGCGGTCAAAGCTGAATGCACAGAGATCACATCAGTGGGCTATGCCTGTGTGATGGGAATAACTTGGTGTTGTAAGATAACATGTATACCTGGGCATACAACTTCTTCCCTTCTAACTATCAGTTGTCGTGGCTACATATACGGAGCTACAAGACGTGTTACCACAGACAGTTTCTGAGCGGTTGCAATACTTAACAGCGCTGTTATTTCTGGTCCAGGCACAGGAACAAATCCTCCGCGAACTGCGACGCTCTGAGTTCTCGGGCTAGGGCCGGACGGGCAGATCATTCATCTCAGCCCCCATGTAGCAGCGCACGGCGCCGCCAGCGACCTGTCCACCATCGTTTTGTGCTTAATATGAAAGTTGTGCTGGAGTTATGAGTCTCGGTGCAACTCTTCCCCGCTGCAGCATGTCAGAACCACGATAAATTACCGCAAGGTCGCACCCGTTGGTGACCTGGATCTGCCTTGCGACTGCAACGTGGGCGCGCTCGGGTCGGTTACACCCAAACGATCAACCGTCTCAACGACTTGCTAGTCACCGTTAAGTGGCTGTTGGCAAACTGGAAGTGATCTCGGTTGAAGTCGCTTCTACGGCGCTGCTTAATTGTTGGACCGTTGGTAGTGTGACTGAATTGTGCTTTCTTTTTGGCCACATTTTAGCCCCTGAACCCCGCGGAGGCCGTTGGCACGGGTTTTCTTTAGCCGTGAATCACAGCCCACAGCTCCAATTTACTCAAGTTCTAGCCAATGTCATCGCCCGACCCAGCTTTATTGATGGAGTTCTTTGATGGAAAAGAAAACTTCACTGGATAGAATCCCATGTTGTCAACATGGAGGTAACCTTGTAGGGTGGGCTCTGTGAGGTGGTCCACTGCGCAAGGAGATTATCGCCAGTAGGATCTCGTGGCCTGTCACCCTCTTCTCATCGCCCTGCACGGCAATTCGTCCGACCAGATCTCGATAATTTTTGGAGCCAGTGCAGTGTTGGCAGATGCAGAAATCAAGGCAGAGGAAATTTGGCATGTTTCACACGTTCGATTCTGGCTCTTCGATGATTTCCGCTTTCGTCGACGTGCGTCGGATAAGCGAGTGCTGAGGGTGTGTCGACGCGGTTACGCGGCACCAATGCAAGGGCAGCGAGAGGGAGTGATGCGCTCGCTCTAATGCGCTGCGACGCTGCGGCGTGATGGAAGCTTGGTACGGGTAATAGTTATGCTTGATTAGCCAGAGCGTTCAGATGATCTGATGGCGGCATACTCAAATCCTGCTTTTGAGAAAAGGGGTAATATTAATTAGATGTTGTCGCGGCATATCCTTCTTCATATGTGGAAGACTGCCTCGTCCTCCTAACCCTGTGCTCAGCTGCGCAGCCAACGGCTGTCATCTCATCTCCGGGGAAGAGTTGAGGGGAAGCCCAGAACGGAATTGTCCGAGTCTTTTCCGTGCTTGAACAACATGTCGTCATTAGAATCGCATTTTGTCGTAGGGTAGCATGCCCCCTGGTCGCGGGCTCCTCCTGTATCGCCGATTGTGGAAACCTTCCGAAAGAGCCCTGTCCGTTGGTTTTTGACAAAGAGTTTGCTTCCATGAGTCGTGTCTGGTTCCATTGCATCTGGGACTCTAGCAGCACACGTCAGTAAAGCGCTTAAGGTTGCCATCTGAATTTCAATCCATCAAAAATCTTTTCCGATATCACAGCGCAGACATACATCGGCCAGACTTCCCGAAGCGCACAGAGTGAGATGTCGAACATATGAGGCTTCAGCATGGGTCATTGGACGTTGGCTTGGGCATTATGTTGGGGTTTCAGTGCTCACATTGATGTGATTACTTTTAAGTATTTCAAGCCAAATTACAAAATCTCATTAAAAGCAAGCACCAATTCCTCTTCGCTGCGTGTAAAGAAATACAATCTGGCGTCGCCACTCACAACCGAATCCATCCAACCCATGTTCACGACGCTATGGAACGAAGCATACTTAAGTCAATATCACAAGACAAGAGTCTTTCAGGTGTACCTTGCAGCTTATACAGTATGTAGCTGTCGTCCAACTGCTCATGTTCACTCAGAGTGAGGATCATTGGCAACTGTGTGAGAACCTCCACGTGGCATACCTTTAACAGGTTCGCCTTCGCTCCTGATCCACCAACGATTGGACGCATTCCGAACAGTAGAATTGTCTAGTACTGGACGCTTTTGCCCCGATCTGAGATCTATGTCATGAGAATCTCTCCGAAGACACTCTTGGCGCCCATAGGTTGCATCAACTCTGGCAGCGGTTTCAAGCGCTCTTCGGCCCTTCTCTATGTTTGTGAGTGGCCTTGGGATAAAAACGGGAGTTGGTTCGGGTTGCAGCTTAGAGGCTGGGATCGAGGTTCGGACAGGGGCTGGATTCGGAATTGGTTTGATAGCTGGCTCAGGACCAGGCGGCGAGTTGCCGTTTCTCGTGTTACCGGACGGTTCTAAATGGGCCAGCCTATTGCCCCTAGGTCGTAGCGTCTCAACATGACCTTCCGTCTGAGGGCCCACGGGGGAGTCGAAAATCATATCTCCCATGTGAAGGAGCTTGTGCATTATCCAGATCAACCAGACTCCAAAACGAATGCTGAATTTCATATCTGGCCTAGAATGAAGCACATGTTTGCGCCACTCCGTCGAGCCATGCGTTATACCGTCAGGGTAGTCGTGAGGACTGCGTCTTGAAGGCAAGTCCATGGATATGTGTATCCACCGCGCCATTCCACCGCAGAAGACCAAGAAGGACATTCCCACCACAATCGCGATGAAGAGCCCCAAAGGGATCTTGCGTTCATGGTTGAAGGACGCGACGCCTAAAATTGACCCGAACGTAGCGCCAAGTAGTGCGCTGAACAGAAAAAGGAAGAAGATTCCGAAACGAAGGAAAGCCAGGTTGGCACCGTATTCGTCGCATGACATCTGGGATTCAGACATTGTTATAGCTCTCGAGAAGCAGGGCGACTTCGAGGAAACGATGGGGATGATGTTGACGAGAATATCTCACGCTGCTATGTTGGTTACGTTCGATGACTCCGCGACGATGTGCTCATCTGTGTATGTTCACGGACGCTTCTTATATGTCGTATCGCGACCTCTCTGTGGCACCTGAAGAATCGAATCGTATCTTCAAGGAAGCTTCGTATGAAATGGGTTGTTTCGGATGTGACACAGAGACCGACACACGATGGCGCTTGCATTCAATTGGTCCCCTTTTCGACTGCGTTCCAGAAAACATCGGTGCCTTTCATGAGGAGCACCTCAATCCTAGGTTGTCTTTAGACTCAGGCAGACAACGGCATGTGATATGTAGGCTTAGGCAGATAATGAAAGAAAGGCGTTCTACTTCTCCTTACCCAATGCCAAACGCACAACGGATTTTGTCTCACTACACAAACGCATCACCCAGTAGCTGACCATTAACTCTCTCTGAAAACCTGCCAATTCATGAGCAGCCTCCTCTGGCCGGCAAGATACAGTAAAACTCAAGATACATAGCAGCAAAGAATGTAATTAGTACCACCCCATGTTCTGACCGACACTGGGTTAGACCATAAACAGAGGCACCAATTGACGTTCGTCAGGAACCGCAAACAGAAAAGCCAGAATTGATTAAAAAAACGAAAAGATAAACCCGAATGATTGTGTTGAGTCAATCGCGGTGAGGATTTGAGCCTCACGCGGGGGTCGAACCCGCAACCTTGAGATTAAGAGTCTCACGCTCTACCGATTGAGCTAGCAAGGCGGGCTTGAATTGTTGACGGCGACCGAAAGTTCGAAACTCAGATACTCGGCCTGGCTGCTGTATCTTCGATTCACGCTTCAAGATTCACAATTCCCATGATTCCTTGAGTGGTTGAGCTAAGGTGGAATTCTCTAATTGAGTTTCGCATTCTTCGAACTTTATTTTCGCGCGGTGTGTGACGTTGCCCACACCTCAGCAATTGCTTCTAGCCGCCGTCGGCTCCCGTCCACCACCAAATCAGGGCGTATCCTTGTGAAGACTTGCCCCTGTTCAATAATATCTGTTGTTTGACGTCAAAGATTGTTCGGATGGTATTTTACTTGAACTATATTGACCGTCACGACATCCCTGTTGTGTAAAGCTTCATGCAGGTTCCGACTTGGTCTCGGTCGACAATGATGCTAACTAGCTTCGCGCCCTGTGCCGATGGACCGCCAAAATTCCACAGCATCATGGCGTAGAAAAGCATTGATGGCATTGATGAAGTGCCCGAAACTCTCAGTAAATCCGCAATCTATCGGATCTACAACTCAAGTACAACCTCCGCCGGAAGGCAACCGTAATCTCCGATCCCGTTGCCGGCGAAACCTTAACGGAAGATCGGTGCTCGGAGCTATCCCGTTTCTCCAGATCGCCATCTAGACGTGAACTTGACCGTATCGTTGATCAAGTATGTAAAGCAATGTGCTACCTCCAAAAGCTATTCCAAGACAATTCTTGAGTATTTCATTCTTCACACTCAGCATGTCTTCCTCACAGGTTTCTCTTGCTCCCAGACTGGGATGGATAGGTAAGCCCACCGTTCATGGCCATGCAGATTTATTTTGGTGCAGGTACTGACAAAGGCCAGGACTGGGATCCATGGGCTTGCATATGGCCTCAAACTTGCAGAAGTATCTGTCAAAGAAGCAGGGCCCAAGTCTTCGTTTCTATAATCGCAC